AACATATATATGTGTCTCTGTGTGTTTTATAGTGTATGTATACTTACAAATGTATATGCCTGTATTAGTGTCTATGTATTTAAGTGTATATGTATATATCTACATAAAAGTATATATATAATTATATATATATGTGTGTGTGTGTTTTTATGTGTATGTATATGTGTGTGCGTGTATATATATATAGATACATTTATATATACATTTATATATATATATGTGTGTGTGTTTATGTGTGTGTATGTGCGTGTGTGTGTATGCATTTATTCATGTATGTATGCATGTATTTATGTATGTATTCATGTATGTATGTAATTATAAACACATATATGTATATTTAGGTATATATTTATACATCATCATTGTTTATAGTATTTGTATTCATATTTTCATTTCAAAATATATATTTGTATTCATATTTTTGTATAAGTATATATAAATATATATATATTAATGTACAATATATATATATATATATGTTTACATACATACATACATATATATATATATATTTAAATGAAATTATCAATGCAAGTAAGCATATTTATATAACATGTATTAAATATATATATAAAATATAATAGAGAATATTGAATAATATATATATATATCATTTATATTTCTAATTATTTGTTCAATTATATGTTTCTTGCTGCATTTCATTATTTACTGATCTGTTTCTTTGTACTATTTTATACTAGATTTCAATATAAGTAATCTCATTAGTTTCCTATTATATTTATTTCTATTTCTATTTATGTATGCGTTTTTTTAATAAATATTTCTATATTTGACACTTGTTCATAAATATATTTATTTGTATTGATATTTCCATAGAATTTATATTTTTGCATGTATATATTTATGTTTATTGCTTATATTTCATGATTTACTTATTTATTTCTTCTTTCTTTCAATATATATATATGTATATTTGTGTTTTTATGTTTAAGTATTCACTTAATTTTGCATGAATGTATATATATATATATGTAGATATATATATATATGTGTGTGTGTTTATTCACGCTTGTATGTTGTATTTTTTTGTATTTTTGTATGCGTGTATGAATGCATATTTATATATGCATATATATATATATATATGCATATGCCTATATATGAATATATGTATGTTGATATATACATATAGCATATATTGATATATACATATAGCCTATATTTATAGATACATAAAGCATATATATGTATATATATATATATGTGTTCATATATATATATATATATGTGTGTGTATATATGTTTGTGAGTGTATGATATATATATATATATAAATATATATATATATATATATATATATATATATGTGTGTGTGCGTGCGTGCGTGTATTTATGTATGTATATATGTATATCTATATATATTTACTTTTATTTCCATTATTATCTCATACTTCTAGAAGTTAAACTACATCTACACTTGGTCTTGTTAGAGATAAGTTCCCAATTGTATGCTGAAATCATTTTATTTTTGTTAGTACACGATTGCGATGAAAATTTGAAGTTAACCTCTGTATGTATGTCCTGTACGGTGATCTGTATTTCCGTGTAGGTATACTGGTGTGCTCGCATATCATTGCAAGTGTAATATAAAGTAGTACATGTAAAAGTTTATTTACGTATGGCTTTGTGTCATGTCTAAACATCTGTCAGATGAAGGCTGTTTCGTGATTTGATAGTGAGAACTCGTGTACAACCGTGTATAGATTCTTATCTGATGAAGCCTATCGATAGGTGGAGCATGATTTGGATGTGATTTTTGAGTATGCATATACCGTTCTTATCTTCTCAAGTTTTTACATGAATGAGTGTACTTACTTTTGAAATCGCATGTATGAGTGAATACCCACAAACGAATTTACATCCGGGTGAACTTAAAAATCTAGACATGTAAATAATATAGCGCGAATCTATTAATGTCAATTCGGGTGCTACTTAGCTAGCGAAATATCTATTGCATATTTGTCACACACATGTATCATATACCATTTGTGTATGTCATTGCCTGTACCTTTAATGCATAGCTAATCTTCTGGTCCGAACCTAGATCTTTGTGATTCAATTTTTTCGATATACTCAGTTTGCCATATTACATGTCTGTTGTCATTGTACTACTGTACATCCACTTCATGAGCAAGCTAATACAATTCAAATTTGCACAACCGTCAAAGTAAGGTTTCCTTGCATATTGGTTACAGATTGCTAAAACATAGATATTACTCTCCCCACTACAGTCGTCGATAGTGCTACAGATTTGCAGGATATGGAAGAGGACGCCCGTATGCTTAAGAAGCTCAAAAAGGGCAAGTCGACAGGGGTAGACATTTCAATAGAAATGGACATATAGTATAGGTATTATCTTCACATTGTATTAAATTCGTCCCTTATCATTCTAATAGAACATACAGGTCCGAACCACATGTACTGTCGCCTATTTCCAGGTACAAAATCTTTTTCAAACATGATAGCACGTAGAAGGATGTGAGAAAAGTTGGACTAGTACAGTGCCAGCGTGCGTGTACATATGTGAGTTGGAAGGAGGTGTTGGCAAGTCTTGTTCAGGACTAGAAATTCAAATGATTTGCAATTCCTACTCACAGACAATCTTTCTATCAGGATAAGAAAATAAAACCATCAAAATATCTATTTTGGGACTACAATATAGCAAACTAGCGTGAACAGCAATATAAACGACGCACGATTTAATTTTTTCTCTGGGTAACACCTGGTACCCTTCATTATTTGCTCCAAATAATGCATACTTCAGGGAGACTTGATTTACTGCCTCAGCCCACTTTAGAACTTGAGGGGCTATTTTAAGCTATGTGAAACCTGCTCACACAATTGGACGGGAGGGCAATCTGCACCCTACCGCTCTATTTCGATGACTGTTTGTATTAGCGACGTTGCTCGACTGCTGTACACTGATGCCCTTACGACATTTACTCTTCTGCTTCCTTCCGCTTCCATTCTTGGACCAGTTCCTTCTTTCTTTACACGAACTCTCATTGCGAACTCCCTGGTTGCTATATTTACCTTCCACGTCAATGACGCCAGCGCCACTTTTTGATTTTCTATTATTGTGTACACCTTCAGAGTTTTGTGTTCTGCTCTCGCGTTTGCTATTCCAAATGCGAAATTCACTTTCTTTGTTTGCACTTTCCCGTTCGAGCCGATGCTCTCCACAGTTCAATTTCGGGTTCCTAGCCTTCTTATAACTTTTACCGATACTATGACTTGCATTATTGCTCATCGTCTTATAGTTGCTGTGACTTCTCTTGCGACCTTTTTCTCTAAATTCCTCGTGATGATCGATAAAGTGCTGATATTCATTCTCACTGTCGGATGTTATCCTACTTGAAGCCTTCCTTCGTTTAGATGATTGTTCTCTACCATTTACATTCATACCAAATTGCCTTTTCATACAGTCATGATACTGCGCCGGTAATATCCCTTCGTCGTAGTCTTGAGCTTCGAGAAAAAAATCTTTCACTAGGAAGAAGTTCCCTAGTAAGCGCTCTTCTTGAATAAATCTGAATAAATAGCAGTATGGAAAATGGCAATGAGGAAGCTATCACAATCAGATAGCAAGCGTTAACGCTCCGGCAAAGTATCACAAAATAGGCGTACCCAATTTACAATGTAGACTCACCTTAGATAGTTGGCAGCGACGTCGTTCACCTCAACAGCTACTGCACCATCATTGGTCTGGAATCTCAGTACGCTAAGACAATCTGAGTCTGAGTCATCTCGAGGCTTCCGGCCGACGGATAACCCCGAAACATTCGCTATCTCACTAACCTTTCGTCCTTTATTGCAGTTCTCGATCGTAAAAACCTCAACCTCTTCACAAAATCTTACCCGTTTTTGGAAAGTTCCGTCCTGGAGCAACAAAGCAACAAAAATAGTAGATAAGAATTCGGCAATTTTCACCAAGAAAGTGGCAATAGGGAGACCAACCAGAAACCGCAACAAGCATGTGATTTCCAAAGGTAAATAAGTTAAAAGAGTATCCCTATTGAATACTACCAGCCTTTAAACAAACGAACAAGAGAATGTGTTTCATAGATGAAAACAAAGAATTCACAGAACATACACCAGACCAACCCGCGACGAGCACTTAGGGCTTTAGTCGTACATACACCTAAAGTATATCAGAAATGGACGAACACAAGCGATTCGATTTCAATAGTATTCAGCTTGATAGGTAAAAAGTGATAGTCAAGCTAGAATAAACAGCCTAAAAAAATGTAGACTCATCATATATCCAATACCTGTTTGGTTGAATCGGAGGACTCCACTCTGGCCACGTCGTCCTCAAAAACAAGCTCAAGATCTATCATGTTCGCCAAACAGGTATCATCCTCGTCCTCTGAAGAATACACTTCTGAAAATACATTTGAGTCGTAGTCTGACGCCGAGGACTCTCGCACTACTTTACTGCACTCCTCCACGTAAACTTCTAAATGATCACCCTTTTCCATGCAAGAGAGATCAAGGGTGTCGACCAAAGCCTCAAGAAGTATGACATCTTGCTCAGTAAGCGAAGAGGTAGACAAGGTACGTCCCATCGGAAGATTTTCCACTACTCAAACTATATTTAATTACACCCGACTCAGAACGTTGTATATGTGATTTGGGTATTTTAAAAAACAAATACTGTATATATTATTATATACGCGCGTGTGTTTTCAGTAGATTTCAATCAAAATCGATCTTAGCAAGGTATCTCTACAGACTGCGCATGTAAATGCTTATATAAATATATATATATATATATATATATATATATATATATATAATATATATAAATACATAAATGTGTGTGTGAATATAAATATAGAATATACTCCTCCTGACTCTGTTTAGTGTTGAGTGTTGATAGTTGAGTCGTGTTGACACTTGACTTATCAGTGTTGAGGGCTTGAGCCCTGGGCGGGCTGGGCCTGAACCCCAAGGCCTGAGGCCTTGAGCCTTGAGCCTTGTTGTCTGCCCTTGTTGTGTGATCATATGTGTAATGTGAGGGCCGAGGCCGAGGGCCGGAGAGTGGAGGCTCAGCGACTCTCCGTCCTCCGCGAGTAAATTGGAAAATTGGAAATAATTTACTCTCTACTAGTAGTTTGTATTAGAGAGTGTCCGCCTGTCCGGGGCTAAATAAAGAAAGTTTTATTGTTTCTCATAGTCTTCTGGAAATCGAACATTTTTTTTTTAAAATTTCACTTTTGGATCACTGGAACAACAAATATTCAACTTTCAGGGCTTTTATATCTCATTGGTATAATTTATAGGGAACTTTTGGGACTTTAGGTCATAAATGAAACTATTGGGAAAGTTCTTCTCTATACTTTATAGCTGAATCGTTCAGAATAGGCCAGCCGCCAGACCTCTCTAATCTTAATTTTACTTTTCATACACATGAATTTGTGTTTTACCAAAAACAAACATTATTTTTAAAATATGTAGCCTTGTAGGCTACTCTCTAGAGTAGTTGAGTCTCTAAATAGTCCTTTTTTTTATTAATATATAAGCTGGTCCGCTGCGCTGCATATTTTTTTAGTAAATGTTATGATATGTAGCCCTCTCTATTTTATATTCTTAAAAAACTCTGACAGTTTATATTATTTTTGTTGTTTTTAATTTGATTTCTTGTGTTTTTTTGTTTTTATATATAAATACACATAAAAATATACCTACATGAAAATACATCGTCACCATTGAAGTAAAGATAAATATATCTATCAAAATAAAAGTGGTTATTTATTATTATGATATTTATAGCCATACTCGTAACCTATGAAATTGTCTGCGATTCCGAGTTCCTCCAAAACCACATGTCACTCCAGAGTCCAAACTCCCCGAGAGTTCCCCCTTCCCCCCCGCAGAGAGTGTCTACACTCCACACTCCACATACTCCACAGTCCCAGAGTCACAGTGAGTCCACACTCCATAGACCCCTCTAATCCAGTCCTAAAAAATTTCTAAAATACATTCATAGCCATAGCCTTCTAAAATACAGAAGCCAGACATCCGTTCTATTTTTAATCTGGCCCGCTCCTCACCCTGCTTGGCTTGATTTGTCTTTTTCTTGGGACACACTGAACCGATGTGGGGCTGGCATTATCAGGCAGTAGGGAACGCAATTCATGTGCCCCCTTCTTCTCTTGTGTCTGTACCAGTGGCTTGTTTTGGATGGGTGCACCATTGTCTGGTTTATGCCGTTTGTTAGTATTGTTATTGCTATCCTCAGCTTGGACGGTTATCTGTGCGGTTTGATGCTTATTTTGCACTCGCAACTGTTCCCTTAACATTCAATCTCTTTCATCTTGGATGCCACACCTAGACATATGGAATCCCTGGTTGCAGCATTGTCACTGGGTATCGCCTCTTTCCACGCTTATGGCTTCCATGGCTTCAGCTGGCGACACCCCCGCAACCGACTGGTGATGTTCAAAACATTCATCCTATCCACGGCTACATATGGGCTGAACATTATTGCCTGGGCTCCGCCTATATGGACCCAAATTGACTCAACGCATATCTTCCATTGTCGACTCGCTTGGCCCAAGCTTCCGGGAATTTACTGACCACTTCTTCCCATCGATCTTTCCTGAAACACTACAGCGATTATGAGAGCCATACCATATGTTCATGCATTGTAACATACATACTTGTCATTTTTGAAATAAATAATATTATCCCTATATGGAAGGATTCGAGCGCTTTAGCTCAGAACTCATCCAAGCAGCAGCCATCATCACGGGCACTAAATTCCATCGGTTTCCCAAACATCAAACAAACATACTTCACCTTTGCGGCCTGCTCCCCGCGCGACCATTCGCGGACTACCTCGGAGGTTGCCTGAGAATACAACTCGACTCAATGGCCAGCACAAATCCACTTACCCTTCTGACGCAACCCGCCTGGGCCCACGATATACCATCACTGCGCGTCCCGTACAGTATCTATGTTCACATGAAAACTGAACACAAAACCACGGGCGGGCATACATCTGACCATGTAGCCTTCCGCCAACACTGTGACAACATCAGGAAGAACTCAACAGAACGTTGGTCCAACAAGCAGATCGCGGCAATGGCCCGGCGCCAATACTACTACCAAATGGTTATGGGTAAACCGCCAACCTCAAACCGAGACACAGCCAGACACGACAGATTCAATCGCTGCTTCGAGCCTACACCAATGGCTCTGTGCTATGATTGTAACGAATACGTACATGTTCACATTGCTCGACTCCCGTACCGACGGCTGTCTCTGCCCTGTCTGCCCCGGTAGCCACAAGTTTACTACCAGCCACTTTACCTGTATCCAACAACTTATTCGACGCATTCTAGTAGGCCCGAAACTGCCGCCCATTGGCCCTGACCTCCTTCAGCAATAACAGGACTACCAGGACTTCCACGGTATCTGGACCCTCCACGAACACTTTGTATCTTTTCTCCAGCATGTTGAAGAACCACCGTACCTTCACCCGTCCCTGACACACCAACAGATGTTCCCTATACCCCGGCTAATCACGCTGTTGAAGTACTACTTCCAAATATTGGTTCAAACCAAATCATCGCGCTTGTTGGTTCCGACTTTGATACTTCCGATCCAGGCCAGCCAATAGATACCGAATTCATCCGTGGTCTGGTGCGGCATTGGCATACCCCCATCCTCGCTTCTCGACCGGATTATGATGGATAACCTGGTCTTTCTCGGTATTTCGTACTCTGCACTAACCCATTCCACAGCACTACACGGCGCAGACCCAATCCGTACCACAGAGGTGGGTACTCTACTTAGTAGGTCAGCAAGCGAATATATAGAACATTCGATATTAACAGTGTTTTGTCAACACCGGCCCGAATTGACTCAGCACATATCTTCCATTGTCAACTCACTTGGGCCCAAGCTTCAAACGGGAATTTACTGACCACTTCTTCCCATCAATCTTTCCTGAACCACTACAGCGACTATGAGAGCCATACCATATGCTCATACATTGTATCATACATACTTGCCATTTTTGAAATAAATAATATTTTCCCTATATGTGACTCAATTATAGTATGAAACATGGCGTATTCTATATCTGACAAGTGCCCTTCACTCCGATCAGGTCGCATGTCTGCTCTGAGTAGAATATCCACCTATGCTTGTTGTCCATAGCACATAAGTGCTTGGTACCTTTTTACTTTGAGTAGTTAAAAGTGCACAGGTTCTTTATTTGATTGCGGTAACACTCCTTCTTATGTATACGTTCTGTGCGCACTTCGACGTTCAGTTTCTTGTTCTGCATGTCATTGAGAAACTTCTCCAACAGATAGTCTACTGGGTGGGGCCTGAGACTGTCAATAAAGATCCTATTGAATTGCTCCGGTTCCTTGAAATACTTTGTTGCATGTGTCTCAGAATCCCTTAAGTATTGAGAACTGCCTTGATCTTCCCCGTTGCATCAGTGGAATGTAATAGGGATAATATTATTTATTTCAAAAATGGCAAGTATGTATGATACAAGGTATGAACATAATGTAATAGGATTCACACTAGTGCTGGGTATTGACACAGTGGCATGGACTTTGCTAGGAATAGGTAGATACATTGCGTAGTGAACTCTATTGTAAAAGTCGGTCTCCTCTAGGGCTGACTATACGATACCAAGACGTTTACGTTAATACGACAATACGTTAAAGCGTTAAAAATGCAAAATATTAAAAGTAAGTTTAGCTTCAGCCCTTGTTTGTGAGCAAAAGATTAGGGGATTTTAGACTGAGACTATTGTCCATATGCTCCGCTCTAATCACTCACTACTTCGGTCTAGATTTATTTATGTTTTTAGTTACTAAGACTAGATATCATTTCATTGGACGTATATTTTACATTTCACGCCCCGAAACAATTATCTACTCAAATTAATCAATAAAATATCTCTAAGTCCAACTTAAGAAAATAAAATAAATAAAATCAAACCACCCAGCTGA